TTATATAAAGTAACTCAGTCCACACCATCACTGTCTTAAAAAGCGTCTTAATATAAAAGTTTTAGCAAAAAATTGCATTTAATAACATTGTAAAATAGAAGAGAATGAGGGACAAGTTAAGAATAATAATAACCCATAACAATTGTAACCTAAAATGCCAGTCTATATGTGCAAAATATATTGACACATCCATTTTCCCCTCAAGAGGGTGCTGTGATGGTTAATTCTTCCAATGACAGAAAAATGTAAAGTGGTGAACAATAAAATTCTGTCATCAAACTTGTATGAACAGACTTTCTTCTGTGGAACACAAAAGGAGATATTGTGAGAAATGTCTCAGTGTTTGTTTTGCCTATGTAATGGAAGACAATGTCAACCAAAACGGTTTAGTTACAAACAATGCTTCAAAAGACTTTGTGTGTGTGTGTGAGTGAGTGTGTTCCTCAGAAGAAAGTCAAACGAGTTTGAAATTTAAATTGTTGGGTAAATTATCCCTTTAATTGATATATGTTTCAAGCAGTTGTATGTTTCTAAATAAAAAGAAAATTAAATTGTATGTTATGCATAGATATGGCATGATATTTGAACACTTGTGATAATCCTTTTAAAATTACCTACTCTGAAAAAAATCTGTTTTAGAACAATTTTGCTGTCCTTAACAAGGGCTGACAGCAACATTCTAAATCAAGGTAAAATGACCAGTGGTCATGACCAATCAGTTGTTTCTCAGCAGTATCTCAACATTGGCAGACAAAACATTCCAGTTCTCTGGGGGGACATTCTTAGTTTCATAGAACTAGATGACATTCTCATGAGCCGTTTGTTTTTTTATAGCTACACTGCTGTGAGGCATAGAACAAAAAACAGGACAGGACACAAGAGATCACACATCATCTCTACTCATCTGAACAGCTCAAATTGAGTCCATGTCCAATTACTCCTCCCTACAGTCTGCTGTAAAAAGCACCTCTTAAAATACATGACATGCAGGGAACAGGCCAAGCACCTCTTTATTCCCAGAGATCTGGGATTTAAGCATATGGTTTTAGTGATCATATGTATAATTGTCATGAGGAAAAAAAGAAGAATTGTGCCACAAAGAAAAAATAGGTACATGTTCTCTGTTAATTTCTTAAAAGTCATGACAGTGTCCTTCAGCACCATTAGCTTAACATTTTTTTTATATCTCACCAAGAGCTTTCATCTCAATATCAGCTTTTCATATCATAATTACTAGAATTTTTGACTTTTTGACTATATATTTTTTTCATTATTTTTAATCTCATAATAATACACTTTTATCTCATAATTAAAAATGCATTGTTTAAAGTCAGTGATAAACTTTAAATCTAAATTATAACATACTTTTTGCATAATTTTAACTTTTCAACGTGTAATGTTGTAGTGTGCTATAAAATGTGTCTGGTTTGAATGTTTGCCTTAATGCTTGAGAACAGATTTTTTTT